CTCATTTTCCCTGATTATAAAGGAAAGGTATAAACCTTGGGGACAAAGAAGTTAATAGTGTACTGTGCTGTACACAACATTAATTGAAGTAGCCCTTCAATTAATAGATCTGAGAAAAGACAGATGCTGACTAAGAAAGTGTGGGCCGACAGGAGGTTGAGAATTGCTTATGAGCCACATATAGAATGTGGTTTAGTCGTGGGAGTGGTGAGATGTGGCCTGGAAACTGGCAGAATGGAATGTGAATTCTCAGAAATAAGCAGAGAGCAATATCTTGGTTTATGAGCTTTTTTTTTTTTTTTTTTTAAGCTTTGGCAGGCATTTAACTCTGGGCATCAAAATAATGCCATTCAATCTCCAGCATTACAAAAGAAAAAAATTCTGAACAGTGAATTTAAAAGTTCCAAAATTAGACAGGAAGTAAATCTCATTATCATCTGTTAGTTAAGGGAGTTAAGTAGAGACTTGAAATAAAGTTCTTACTTCTTGTTTCGGAAACAGTTTATGGCTAGGTAGGCAGAACCACAGCAATGTAATAATTGTACGAATGCCTTTTAGGGTCACATGAGGCCTGATACACACAAATGCTTAGATGGTGTCTAAGAGATAATGATTATAGATGAAATCCTCTATTGAGAGTTTCCACGAGTTTCTACTTAAAAAAGAGAATTTGTCCTTTGTAATTTATAAAAGATCCTGAATAAATTAAATACAGATTACTAGTATTCCAGCTTTTTAAAAAGCTACCCTGTAGTATGGTAATTTGTAATGTGTATAAAAATCACCTGATTGTTGAGCAACAGTCACTTGTATTTACTGTTTAAAATTTGCAGAGATTCAAATAGGAATATTGCAAATGCCTTACTAAGATGAGAATGTGTCCAGTTTATTTGTCTGAGATATGTCATTCTCAATGCAGTTTCTCTCCTATAGGGTGAATTTTTTTTTTTTGGTACAGTGGATTAAACCCAGGGGTGCTTACCCACTGAGTCACATCCCCAGTCCTTTTTATTTATTTATAATTTCTGAGACCGGACTTGAACTTGAGATCCTTCTGCCTCAGTCTCCCAAACTGCTGAGATATAGAAGTGCACCACCACACCTAGCTAATACAGTGAATTTTATTTAAATAACAGCAAGTTATTTAATATCAGTTAGCATTTCTTAGCCTTTTTAGCCAGAAATCACATTCCTTAAAGGGAGAGTGTGTATTGTATTACATCTCTGAGTTCCTCACATCTGTCATGCCCTATATATTACATTGGTTTAAATGTTATTTTATACTAGTAAAATTTTTTTTTACTAGTTGATTAAGAGTAGTACATACTTAATCAGTGCTTATTGAACCAAATTTTTGTACCTATTTTTTTTGAGACATTAGCACTTTTTTTCCCCTGTGATTGTAGATGTAGCTAAAAGAAAAATCAATTAACTACTTAACATCCTTCATTAACTTGTCTAGGATAACAGTGCAGATCATTCCCAAGACACACAGGGCCTCCCTTGTTTGACTTTGATCCACTAGAGCTAAGCTCTCTAGGCTTTTGGCTGTCCACATGTTTTTGTCCTGGTTGGCTGATTACCCTTTCTCAACTTTGTCAGTCAACCCCAATGTTCCCCCAAGAGGATCCCCAATACTTCCTCTTTTAATGGCAGGGATCATATTTTCCAAGTAGCAGCTACTCATTTAAAATGAATGCTCAGTAAGTGTTGACTTGAATTAATGTGTTCATTACTAGGAATTCTTTATATAATATTATGTGCAAAATTTGGCTGATATTTGAAAAATGCAAATGCATTTGTCATTTGGGATTACTTAAAGTATCTGTCTCTTCATAAGGGGCCAGTTGTAACATTTTGGGAGAGTAATACTTTTTAAAAGAGACTCCTGTTGAGGACCTATGAAGCTCCTATGATTTCCCTATTATGATAGCCCAGTTCTTTGATACTGGCATAAGATTATTAAAAAGGCCTTGCAGTAGGCAAAGTGGTGATTCATTTTGATGGGCTCATCACATTTTTAGTTACACTTTTTCTGAAAATGCAATAATGATTTCTTTTTCTTTTTCTTTGATGATGAACAAACCCAGGGCCTTGTGCATGCAAGGTAAGCACTCAACCAACTGAGCTATATCCCCAGCTCTGAAAATGCAATAATGAAAAGTGCTTATAGAGTTGTCTTATATGAGCATATCCCCCAAATTTCTAGTGAAATAATATTTTATCACAATCTGATGGGTCATCGGTTTGAGCAGGGAAATTTTCAACCTTTGTTTTGAGATGAGATCTCACTAGATTTCTGAAATTGGCTTTGAACTTGGAATTCTCTTACTTCAGCTTCCCAACTAGCTGGGATTATAGGCTGGTGGGCATCGTAGATTTTTAGTTTTAATGACCTCACAGTATAGGTATTGTAATTAAGATAATTAATTAAAGGAGCTCTATGAACAATTAATAACCAACATTTACATAGCACTCAAAGGTTTAGAAAATGACTTTATGCACATTTTGTAAGTTTAAAAATAAATTCCTGAATATAATTTTTTTGGTTTGGAAGGTAGCACTAACTTTAGGATCATGGTTATTTATTTTTTTCCAACTTACTCAACTCTTCTTATAGGTCCTATTCCCTCATCCTTCTAATTTTTGTATCCAACATTGGAACATTACCTCAATGGGATAATGCCTTTTGAATTTGCTTATTTTAATTTTTAAACTCTAAACTACACTGCTTATTATGGGGATATTACAGATCCTGGGATTTCTAGGACAGAACTGATTGTAAATGTTTTGTCACATTGTCAAATCATGGAACCTGATCTCTGGTTAAGAAAATGTGGTCACCTTATCTACTTGATGAAGGTTAATATGAATTTTGTTACATATATTCTAAATATCTAGTTTTACATATTATATCCTATTATATATACACATATCCTGAAATAAGACTTTTTAATGTGACCTTATTGGCAAAACAATACTCCCCATTTGTTTTCCTTAACCTTTCTTCAGTTCTATTTATTGTCCTTTCTTCTTTAAATAACTATGGTTCAAGAGACCTAGATATTTAGGTCTCTTCCAATGGATTTTTTTTTTCTGTCTCCTTCAATGAATTCTCTTCTGCCTCTCACCAGCCTCATTTTTCAAAATCTTAAAACTATCTACTAATTCTTTAAAAAGACAGGGTCTTGCTATTTTGCCCATGCTGGAAAAATAGCCTGGGCTCAAGTGATCCTCCTCCCTTGGTCTCTTGATGTACTACCTAGCCATGCTTGATCTACTTTCTTATGGGTTGCTTGAGCTGCACAGATTTTTCAAAAGCTCAAGAATATTCTGTTTGCACAGCCACTTCCACTCTTTACTTCTAGGACATCTTCAGATGAAATTACTGCCTTCCTTCAAGCTTTAGTGCAATTCACACCTTCTCCCTATAGTTTGCCCTGCCTGTAGTAATTTATTTTCCTATAAAATCTCAAGCATTTGACTTTCACTACCTCATACTGTTTATTAGCTTCATGTATTCATGTCTCATGTCCTAGTTAGAATGCAGTCCTCCAGGATGAGGGCTGTATGTACTTCATCTTTTTTTTTTTTTTTTTGATTTGTTCAAAGGAGACAATGAACAAATATTACTCAACAAGTATTTGTTGATTAAAGAAATCACAAGTTCCATGATTTCAATACCACACAGCCAACATCTTATTTAGGTATACATAGTAATTTTCTTCTCTTTTCTCCTTTTTGGCCTCTGCTTCTGAGTTTGACAATTCCTGTTTAGTATTACCGTAGGTAACTTTAGAAGCAATAAAAAAAATTAAAAGATGGTAAAAACAGGCATGTAAGAGATAGTGGGATCTGATATTTATAGTGTCGCTATTCTGTGTTTGACACCATAGTCTGCATTTTAAAGATTTCTTTCAACAAACTTAAAAACTGAAGTCCAGCCATGTTAATTTATCTAAAGCCACCCCCCCGCTCCCCAATAAATGCCTGTGCTAAGTTTCAGAAACCAAGGTCTGCCTGATTTCAAAGGCAAGGCGGTTTTAGTGTTGGAAGACTGCGAGAATTAAATGGCATAATTTATTGAAAAAGCAGTAGGCACAATAGTTGGCGTTCAACAGATGTTTCTTCCACAATTTGCCCAGGAATTGTGTCTACTTAAGCAGGAGAGGAGGAAAAAACAAAACAAGAACAACAACAACAACAAAAAAAAACTGGATGAATTAATTATACTTGTTTATAACTTTAAGAAAGCCCACATTTAATTATAATAATCCCATGCCCTCCTTCATATTGACTCTAGAAAAAAATGTCTGGCAATATTTCAAATCATGATGCCTATTTTTCTTCCATGGTTACGTAACAACTTATATTTTCAGAACAGAATAGAAAGTTATCTTCGGCTGTCAAGAGACTAAAAGAATGTAATAAATTATTTCTGTGACAGATTTTTATGTGCTTAGTTTTTCATTTTTCTTTCTTCCCCGACGAAGAGCAAATTACTCTGTTCTATAGGGACTTTGCAAGGTAAACTGCGGGGTTCCAACAGCTGCTGGGGTAACCGTCAACACCGAAATCAAGCGCGTCCTCAGTTCTTCTCGCTGACTCCCATAAGCTGCTCCTCTGCAGAAAGTTAACCCCGCGTCGCCACCGCGGAAAGTGGGGCAACCCAAGCTTATTTTGCCTATCAGCAAAAACCTTTTGTATCCATTTCAGGCCACAGAACAGACAAAACGCCCTACCCAGCTGTTCTGAAGTTCTGCGGGGAGGAAGAAGCTTCTTTATACTGCTCTCTCATCCGCTCATGACACCTGGACGCGGGCGGCGAGCGACCAGGGCCGTGACGTCCCGGCACCTGGCAACAGCCCTAGGACCCGTGCTGGGTAAAAACTCCAGCACATCGGGGGAGGGGCCAAGAGAACGAGGGCGTTCTCGCGAGATTTCCCTCATCCCGGCCCATCTCCCCGCACCTTCCAGGCTTCTGTCCGGCTCTTTACCTCAGTCTTTGGCGTCGCCTTGTAGGACGCCGGGCCCTGAGGGAGCAGCTAGGGGCGGGTTCTGAGGCTGGGCGGGCGCTCGGGGTTGGAGCTGGCGGCCTGAACGAACCAGCGGGTCCCAACTCCTGCGGAAGCGACAAGGGTGGGAGAGCCGCCGTCTGGGCGCGCGGGGGGAGGGCCCTCCCGCCGCCGTGGCTTCGGCGGAGGCCAGGCGTGAGGAGCTGCCATCGTCGCTGCCTCACGGGCCGCGCTGAAGAGACTGGCCGGATACTGCCGCGGGCGGATGGAGGCGCCTGCACGCCCCACCTGAGCTCAGGAGGGGCCAGTGCCGAGCGCGGGGCCCGCCTCCTGTCTCAGGAGCGCCCGCGCGAGCCAGCGGAGGAGGAGAGCGGGTGCCGGGCTTCTTCCCGCAGGAATCCCCAGCATGGGTAAGGTCGGGCGCTCCCCGCCGCCGGTCCAGGCCCTCTCGAGCCGGGGAGGCGGTTCCTTGGTCAGCCTCAGTGGGGACGCGACGGGGCTCAGCCCCCGCGCTGCAGCACCCTACTCCACCCTCGCTGGCGCCCCTCCTTGCCCTGCCTCCCACCTTGTTCTTCTCGCGTGCTCTCGGGCGCTGTCCTCTTCGCCCCTTCTCCTGTTCACCTCAAGGTGTGGGAAGGGGGGCTGGGACGCCCGACCACCTCTCGGCGCCCACTGCCCTGCGCCTCCCTCTTCGGATGGGGGAGGGTGATCGGAAAAACTTGACAAAGTGGCACTTTGTCTTCTCTGAGGCTTTGTATAGATTGGACTTTTAGGGACATATAAGTACACATTTTGTCAAAGTTTTTTTTTTTTTCTTGCTGAAACTTGCAAGAGATGACTCGAGAAAAGGAAATCTGTAATATGTATTTTAGTCTGGATCTATCTACCTAGGCAAATGTGCTGGTACTTAAACATTAAATCTTCTCCCCAACTGGGTTGAGGTTTGGTAGGATTCAGTATTGAACCCGGTGAGGAGTTGTTTCCTGTTTGGAGTTAGACTTCCTTGCTAGAGGAGGGAAAAGTACAAAGCCTTATACGTTGTTGCTGTGTGTTTTAAAAATTTTATTTGCAATTAGGGAATGTATTGCAGTTTGGTTTGGAAAGTTTTGTCAAGTGATGTAACGATTCTTTTGATTAAAAAGTTCAGTGTAGGCTAGGCACTAATTCCTATATTCTTTAAAATTTAAAAGCATTTTTTTAAAAGAATATTTTAAAGAATCAAATTTGGGCCACCATAAGGGAGAGAACGTTCTGTGAGAGTAAATCCAAGTTTAGTGGAGTAAATCAGGAGGACTCTATCACTGCTTCCACTTGAGAGTTGGTGTCGCTTCATATCAACAAACCATTACCGAAATGAATAATTCATGAAACTAACAAATGATTTAGTAGCAGGACAAATAGAGTACTGCTGATGTGGCACCCTCTGCCCACCCTTTGTTTTGTGCATGATGCTTTGAACAGTGCATATAGGCACTTGCCTAGCTATTCTGTTTTCTTAGATTTTCTATTTTTATGTTCTCCTCACTTACCACCTGTTCTCAGGTACCTTTTATAAACAAAGTGCTCTTGAACTCAGAAACAGTAAAATAAAATATTTGCTATTTGGATCCTTCGAATGAATTCCTTTTTAATTGATTAGTTGAGCTTACAGGGTAATTGTGGGCTTATTCCTTTAAGCATCAAATTTTAAAATCACTAACTGCTTTGGATGAAAATTATACTAAAATTAAATGTACAACTCGATATAAAATAGGATGTAGAATATAATTAAATTTATTTTGATGACGTAAAGTCATAATTTGTTACTTTTTCAGTTGCTGGTGTGCCTTGAGAATCTGTTGGATCATATATAGGACTTGATCCAAATGCTAAATAACATACTTCTTTGCATTTTTTTCCATATTTTTTATTGGTGCATTATAGTTGATAGTGTTTGTTAACATTACTCCTTTCCATTTTGAAATTATTTAAATAGGTGCTTTCCCCCCTACTTTGCTTTTCTATGCTTGTAACTGTAATTAGTGTCCCCCTTCATTCTCCGTTTTTTTTTTTTTTGACTGTAAATCATTGCAAATTTATGATTATACATGGGGGAAAACCAGTAGACCCTTACTGAACAGTGTGAGGTCCTCTGGTGGGAAAAGTGAATGAATACCAATACTTGGACATTATAATATCTATTTGGCCAGAGGTCTTTTCTTAGTGAGTTGTTATATTCTGGTTAAGTGAAGTTTGGTAAAGTTCCACATTAGCATACTGTCAACTTGACTACTCAATTATGAACTTCTCTTAATTGGGGTATTTGTTGTTAAAATGAGAAATATTTGTGAAACATTTTCATATGAATGTATACTTTAAATTTACTAGTCATGTAACGATATTAAAATCCTCAAGTTTATTTGAAGGAGTTTCCTCTTTAAGGTTCATTCGCTTGGTTTTTTCATCAGTGATCTTTTAAGATGTAGCCTAAAATATTTACATGGGATTTTATATAATTTGTCAAAAATGAAAGAAAAATTGAAAAAAATTTTTTTGAGAGATTAATGTGGATACCTACTGAGTGATGGTTTCTGCACTTTAGTGATACAGTTAAGAGCAGGGGCCCTGGATAGGAATTTATTTCCTGAGGTCTCACCTATCTGTGTGACTGAGCAAATTACTTAACCTCTCTGTGCTTCAGTTTCTTGATCTAAAAATGGGATTCAAGTATGAATCTCATAGATGTTAGAATGCCTGAGTGAGTGAATACTTATAAAGTGCTTAGGAAGTTACCAGTGCTGCTGGATGTTTTCATTTTTAAATGATTTCCTTTATTCTTGTTGGGACCTTAAACAGAATACTGTCTTTCAAGGGCCAGTGAGAGGACATGAGTCTATACTAATGCAGAAATCAATAGAATTTTATGTAGTGTAATCTTTCAGAAATTATGTAGAAAGATACTATTTTTTTCAGTATTGGTTATACTCTGAGAAGCTCCATTATTAAAAATAAGCTTACTTAGAAAAAACTTTTAAATGGAATGACTTATTACTAGAGACATTTGAATTTTCTGTTAACCTGTTTTTATTTTTTATGTTTGTTAAATGTGGAAAATGTCTTTCAAGAAATATGAGGCTCTCATGTGAAATAATTAGGGAACATCTTTGGGAGATACAAAGCAATACTTTTAAAAAAATGTGTTCCAAAAATACATTTGTGCATTTTGAAGTGAAATATGAAAGTAAATGGCACAGTGTTGCTAAATTTGAATTTTTATTTTTGAAAGAGTAAGCATATTTTAAGGACTGAATTTTTGTTAATTTCAGATAGGGTTATGAGCTTTTGAGTTTAAATTTATTCTAAAAACTTACATATAAAGCATGTCAGTCATGAAGTTTAAATGGAAACTTGCAATGTGTTTAGATCATATATACCACACACATACACACACACACACACACACATACACACTTCTATAATAGAATTTATTTATTTTACGTTTACATTCTACTATTTGGAGAAAAACTTGATCCATACAGATACATTAGCTTACATACAATAGGGGATACTTGCTAATTCAGCCTCAGGATTGACTTCAGTTACACAATCTAGAGCATAAAAAAGTAATAGGAAATTTTTCCCCCTCCCTGCCAATTTTTATACTTAATCCAAATCTGTGAAAACCCCTTTCTCTTTAATGGAATATCTTTCCCTGTTATTAAATGTATTTTGAGTATGGTAAAAATGTTTCATTTTCTGATGTATATAAAGAAGTGGTATCATTGTGTCAAGGGCATAAAGATAGGCAGAGAAAGAGGTGTAATGATTCTTATTTCACTGAGTATAGGGCAGATCTCTTTTCCTGGTAAATGGGTGAATAAGTTATAGACCTCTTTTCTTGGTAAATGGATGAATAAGTTGTTAAAGATCTGAACATTTTCAGAATTTGTATTCAGAAAAGAAAGGGTGAATAAAACAATACTGAGTAATCGTTATAATGGAACTGTGACTTACTTGATTGTAGGAATTGATATCTACTATACAGATTTAACACCAGCAGGATTTAGGTGCTAAATAATAGTAGCAGCCAGGCAGTAAGTCTTTCTAGATGAGTTCCCAACACTAATTTGGGAAATCTGGATTGAAGTTCAGTTATAGTTATCGTCAGCATGTCAAAATCAGGGATATGTGTAGCAAAATTTAGTGTGTAGACTGGTGGAGCCCGTCAGCTGGGTGTGGGAGTGAAATGCTGGTTGGTAAGTAATCTGCCAGGTAGAGGTTCAGGATGGCATTGTGAAGGGAGAAGGGAGGAAACAGGGTCTGGAAATAGGCCTTGGAGACCTAGCTACAGGGAAATGAAACCAGACAGGGTCTAGATTTTTTTTTTAATATTTATTTTAGTTGTAGTTGTACACAATTCCTTTAGTTTACTTATTTATATGTGGTGCTGAGGATTGGCGAACACTCTACCGCTGAGCCACAACTCCAGCGCGCCCCCGAGCCACCGTCTAGTTTTTTTTAATCTTTTTAAATTTATTTTTATTTTTATTTTTTTTAAGAGAGAGAGAGAGAGAATTTTTCAATATTTATTCCTTAGTTATTGGCGGACACAATATCTTTGTTTGTATGTGGTGCTGAGGATCGAACCCAAGCGTCGCACGCATGCCAGGCAAGCTCACTACCACTTGAGCCACATCCCCAGTCCCTAGTTTTTTGTTTTTGTTTTTTTTTAATGAGAAAAATACGAAATAGGTATTTGTTCTCTGGAATAAAAGTGAGTTTGGTTATTGGAACTGTTTAGGATAGTAATACTGATAAGATGTTGAGCTGCTCAGCTGTGGACCTGCTATTATATGTTATCTATCTTGAGACTATATCAGTAGTCAACATTAATAACTGAATCTATAACTGAGATATAATTGGTTCCAAATAAATTTCAGATTTATGGCATCCTCTGTGTATCTAAAGGTTTGGGAATATTCATAGTCTGTAGCATCCCCTCTGTTTATTTGGTCCCAGGAATTTGATATGCCTGCTTTTTTCTTTGCTGCTTTTTTTTCACCTGGATTTTTTTCCTTTCAGATTGAAAGGAGAGCAGATCACAGAGTTGCAGCATGCTTTTACGTTTTAGAAACAAGTATGTAATTCCCAAGGATGTTAAATAGTTATAACTACAAACATAAGAATAAATGGACAACTAAGGCATGAGAAACTTTAAAGTACTTTTAATTCGTGGTCTCTTGATTTCACTGAAGTGGTGTTAGGCTAGTTATTAGAAAGACCTTCATTGTTTTCCTTTTGGATTGATTATTCCTTTCTAATACTTCCTCATACTCCCCCTCAGCCTTCTTTTGGGTTTGTTTTAGATATTTAGACTATTTTACAGACTTTATATCGCTACAAAGCAGTTAGAATTCGATTCATAATCTTT